GGCGATCTACTACTGAAATGAAGGGGGGTAACGCTTCACAGTAATATTAACTATACTACGGTTAAACATAGTAAAATTAACTAAACTATAGTTTAACACAGTAATATTGCTATATTAATCTCTAGCACAGTAATATTAACACAACAAAACTCATTATTATTGTGTAATAAAGTAATATTACTATGTTGACCGTTCAACAAATGTAAACATAATAAAAAGCCAAAAGAATTAATATTACTGTGAGTGACAGTAATATTGCTATAACAACAGTAATATTACCGTCAACCACAGTAATATTACAATAATAGACAGTAATATTATTACGTTACTCCGTGAATAACTCAAACAAACAAAAAATTCCAAACAAAATAATAATATTGATGTGGATGACAACAATATTAATATAACAACAGTAATATTACCGTCAACCACAGTAATAGTATTGTGTTTACAGTAATATTACAATAATAGACAGTAATATTATTACGTTAGCCCGTGAATAACTCAAACAAAACAAAAAAACCCCAAAAAATAATAATATTGATGCTGTTGACAGTAATATAATTACGTTGATTTGTCAACAAATCAACAAAATAAAAAAAATTAACAAAAAATAAAAAATAATAATATTACGTTAATTTACTGTCAACGGCAGAATAATTACATAAATGTATTGTCAACGGCAGTACAATTACGTTAATTAACTGTCATTGACAGTATAATTACCTTAATTTACTGTCAGTGACAGCACAATTACGGTCAACGTTTAGCGGCGGACGTAAAAAAAAAAACAAAAAAAAAAAAGTCAATGCCGGAGACTGGCGAAAAAATCCGAAAGAAAGAAAGAAAAAAAAATTGAAAAGTCAATGTCGGAGACCGGCGTTGACCGTCGGTCAACGCTGGAATCCGGCGGCAAATTTTTTTCTTTTTTTTCAAAAAAAAAAGTTTTGGGTCAAAATTGAATAATTTGTGAAATTTAGGATCAAATTGAGATTAAATTAAGATAAGGATGAAATTGGAGTATATTAAAGTATGCTCCAAAAAAAAGTCAAAATTGAATTTTTGTGGTTAAAATTGGATTTTGTGGACAAAATTGATTGAATTGGGGTTACAATTAAGAATTGGGTATAAATGGTTGAGGGTAATATTGTGATATACATGAATGTTTCCTTTATTTATAATAAATATTAAATGGATGGGCTTATTGGTGAAAGAGATATAGCCCCTAAACATAGAATAATAAAGATGCTTGGTTGGAGACTTATGCATAAAAACCCCATATATATAATGTTGAAAAAATGGTGGTGTAGAAAGATAAATTACATACTTCTATATAATTTAGGACTATGCAGAATATTACTTGGGAATTATTTGACAACCCCTCATTAGACTCTTCCAATTACACTGAGTCCAAAAAAACTCAATTTGAAAGTTAAATTCAAAACAATTTTAATTAATAAAAATAAATATAGTTTTACAATTATATTCTTTCTATATCAATTTTTCTTTTATTTTATATTGAGTTATTCCCCAAACCCTAGATCTTATACTTGCATAACGACGCTTCCTCCTATCTTCTCTCCACACCCACAACCCTCCTGCCCCGCCGGACGACTACGCCCTCTCCGACCTACTCCTCCTCGACGAGACCTCCCGCTCCACCGCAGATGGAACTGTCCCTGCCATCGCTCCCCACATTTGCCTTCACGTCGATGGCCCCTTACTCTTCCCTCTCCACGTCGCGCCCTTATTTCCTCTCTCTCCAC